AGTGCTGGGATTACAGGCGTGTGCCACCATGCCCAGCTATTTCAGAATTTCTGACCCACAGACACAACAAGAAAAAATGACATGGTGGTGGTTGTGTTAAGCCACTATATTTTGGAATAATTCTTTGCACAGCCATGCCTACCCAGAATCTGAATGTTTACAAACACTAATAGTACTGTTAGAAACAAAGGAGTCGCCAGCCTGGGCTACCTAGTCAGTTCAAGGCCACTTTGAAGTACACAGTGAGACCCTGTCTTAAAAAAAAGGAACAAAGGAGCTCAGTGAGCCAGTCCCTTCGTCCATACCACCGTCATAATTATCCATGCTTCTATAATCCTAAAACAGGGAAGGTGGCCTTGAATTTACTATGTAGCCCAGGCTGGCCTCAAACTCACAGTGTCCAGTCTCAGCCTCCCCGAGTGCTGGGATTATAGGCATGACTCAATACAGGCTGCTTGGGTTCCTTTTAGTGTTAATCTTTTCAGCATCCATGCTCTTGGCTTCCTTAACTTTGCAGATACTTCCTTTGTAGTGAAGTTCTAGACTTTTCAAATCACTGAGGTCTACCATTTGCTCTTGATTCTCATTATAGAACTGACTAAAGGCAACCAGCAGTACCCATATCACAGCCTGAACTTTGGTCTGCTTTGAAATTTCCCCTGCCTGATTACCGCTGTTAGTCTCGGTCTCCACAGTCTCAAGTCTCATGGGCAAAAGGTAGACCAATTTTATGCCAGGGTGTACTACACACGGCCTGAAGTCCAACTGTCAGTGGAGTCCTTGTTCCCAACTGAAACCTCCTGAGCCTGATGGCTACTGTCTATATTTCTATGAGGATTCTGAGCTGTGACCAGAATCACCATCAAGCTTGGCCTGTAGTACTCTAGGGCTTGTCTAGCTAGCACCTCCAAGCCTTTCCACACTCCTCTCACAAACCAGTTCCAAAGGCTTCTGAACCACATGGTCACAACAATGACTCCAGTTCTCTGGCACCAAAGTCTGTCTTAATCAGTTTCCTTTCAATGGACACAACACCCACAACTCAAATGAGGAAAGGCTTATTTTGGCTTGTGATTTCATTTCGTGGTTGCTGGTTGCAAGGCAGAGAAAGGATAGTGGAGAGGCATGGCAGAGGAAAAAGTGCTCAACTACAGCGGCCTGGAAGCAGAGAGAGACGGGAGGAGCTGGGAAAGACTGTACCCTTCCTGATCACACTCCCAGTGACCAACTGCTAGCTAGCCCTCACTTTCTGGCAGCACATTCAGCTATTGGGCTCATTAGTGAATAAATCCACGGTAGTATCCCCATGATGACTGTAGTGCCTCCATGATCCAGTCATCTCCCACACAAATGAGAATTCTGGGGGGACATTTTATAGCTAAACCATACCAGATAGATACTAGCCAAGTTGGAGAATATATGTCTTTACATATGTCTTTCCACTATAAAGATTCTATTCTGTTTAATAGAATGTATGTTAATACACAGCATCATTGAAATCATAATAGCTGTCTGTCCTAATGTACACCTTCAATGGATTTTGAGAGTAGTACTGTGGAGGATTAGCACATGATATTTTGGATATTAAAAAGAATTCTTCTAAGCCAAAAACTTTTGAGCCACTTACTCATGTGCAAAGTCTTCTATAACCGTGCTGTACTCCATCAACTATCTCCATGATAAGATTAAATATTAGTGACTGCATACAACACAGAAGTAATGACAGGATCATCTGAGCATCTGATTTGTTTTACAAGTCAGGGGCCAGGTAAATAATGGCTTTACCTGGTCCCCTGATGACTCAGAGCTGGAAGTGGAAAGAGAAGCCAGGCTTCCTGACTGAATTTTATGACAGAAAATAAGGAACTTGGTGTGGAGCAGTTTACTCTCAAGTATTATGAACAATTAAAATAATGAAAGAAATTTTCTTTCAAGCCTCATATTGATTCACCTCTAGCTTTGTGGATCTGAGAGGTCACTGAGTGGTCGATAATAACACTTGATCTCAGATGCTGTAAGTTTTATATACAGCATAAAATACAGAGATCAATAGTTTGATGTTGAGGAGGTTCATTTATTGGCTGTTTGTCCTCAGACTTTTAAATTGAATGGAGAACTGAAGAAATACAAGGAAAGGTGTTTTCATAAATTCTACTTAAGTTATGCAGACAATGATGGCTAAGGGAAAGCAAAGGAAAAGTTCTTATTGTATCACTACAGGCTCCTTTCCAAAGCCCTCCTTCCTTTTAATGCCTCCAAGCCTTCTCTTTACTTGGATCAAGGAGACACATCATTTAGGGCCCCACCTGAGAGGGCTTATGCTTGATCTTCTCCATCCACAAAATGGGCATGGGCTTCATATCATGGGCTTTGTTTTGACATTAAGTGTTTGTTGTACAGAGCTGATAGGGAAGGAAGAAAATCCCTATAGAGTTCAGTTTCAACTGTGGCAATGACAATGAGACTCGCTCTGGAACAGGACTGTCCTAAAGTTAATTTGTGGAAACTTGGTCCTAGGAGGTACTCTGCAAAACACAAAGGTTTCGGTAGTCAAATGTATTTGGGAAACAGCATTCCATATGCCTCTCCTAGAAATTCACTACTCGTTAGGGTCTAATAAAAGCCCAGAGAAGTCTCACAGTATGGTAAGTGGTTTGACTTAATGCCGTCCAGCGATTTTCAAATGCAATTGACTTTTAAGCTCGTGACTTGCTGCACTGTCTATGGGAAATACTGCCTTATAGAGTCCTACGTTGTTCTCTCCAGCTTTTCTCTCATATGGACATTGGAGGATTTAGAATAAACATAGCAGGATACAGACAAGTAGCACCAAGGGGTAAAATGAAAGAAATCTAAGCACAATTTTTCTTCTTTCTTTCTTCTTGCCTATATTTAAGAAATAGAAACTAACATAGCACAATCATATGATAATTCATTAAATAGGGTACAGGGCTGGTATTGCTTGAATATATGCCAAGCAAAATATTGTTACTTTTATTACTCTTGTTACTTTTGTCACAAAAAAATGATATCACTTTGTGCTATATTTTGTTAAGCACAGCCTAAATTCCTCTCATTGTGCCCCTTCTACACTGTAGCAGTTTTAACTGCATGGGGAACCAGGCGCCTCTGTGAAATGGCATCTCTACTAATTTTCTGCCTGCTTTGATCACATGACATCATATTCATCATTGTCTGGCAAACATTTAAATATTGTTTCATAAGTAATTTGAAATAAGCAATTTGAAACCAAATAAGTAACTTGAAACCACTGCTTTGGAGTTTTTCTCAGGTACCAAATAGTAGTCTCAACATTTTGCAGGCAACCAACCAGGGTTTTTTTTTCCCTTAGTGATTAATGCATTGCTTTTCAAATTTCATGTGCAGGTGGCTGGGGATTTAGCTCAGCGGCACAGCGTCTGCCTGGCAAGTGCAAGGTCGTGAGTTCAATTCTTGGTACCAGAAAAAAACCCAAAACAAACAAACAGAAAAAAAACAAATTTCATGTGCAGTTTTAAACTGTGTCATAGTCTTATTTTTGTTGTGTATTCTTTTTTTTTTTTTTTTTTTTTTTTTTTTTTTTTTTTTTTTTTTTTTTTTTTTTTTTTTTTTGTCTTTTTCAGACAGGGTGTTACTATGAAGTTGAGGCTGGTTTTGAGTTCACTTTGTAGCCCAGGCTGGTCTCAAACTCACAACGATCTTCCTGCCTCAGCCTCCCAAGTTGTCATGTATTCTTATTCTTGTTCTAATTGTTAAAATTAAGTGGCACTGATCAGAAGCAAGTGACTTCACTTTGCTATAATATTATAATAATATAATTTGAAGATTTGTTTGATGTTCTTATCCCTACCACCTCAGAATGTGTTCTCATTTGGAAGTATTTGTTTTCTGGAAGTATTAAACCCAAGGCATTGCATATTGTAAGCAAGTGCTATACCATTGAGTCACACTCTCCTTTTTAAAGACAGGTTCTTGCTAATTTGCCCAGGCTGACCTCAAGTTTGCAATCTTCCTCCCTCAGCCTCCTCAGTAGATGAAATTACAGGCATGTGCCACCTCTCTGGGCTTCCAAAATTAGTGTTTTGGATCAAAGTTGATTAGTTGTGACTTACATCAACAAAATGACCTAATTGCAACACAAAAATTAGAAAGCAAGTGTCATAAGGCATTTTAAGTAGTTTGGAGTAAAATTTCATTTCTTGTCCCTAGTATGTATTGGGCTCTGCATTCAACCCCCAGTGCCCTACCAATAAAAATTTATGTATGTGTAGAGATTTAAAAATTAACAATGTAGTTGGATTTTGCATGGAACAGAAAAATAAAATTTGGATTTTTAAATATAGATAGGGTTTGAAAAGTATAGATTACACTGTGAACATTTTATTATGTTAAATTATGATTAACAACCTATGCACATTTATCCCTAACATACCTCATGTATGTGAGGATTGATAGGTTGCACTTTCAAATTGGTAGGGATATTGTGAAATGATTCTGTTTAGGATTATTATGATTATTATAAATTCTCTTGACATTTTCCAGAAACTTGCTCTTGGTCATGTGCAGCGCCTGAACCTGTCTTATTTATGAGGGAAGTTATGTCTCGCACTGACTATTTCTTCCCATGTCAACTCAGATGCTCATTTTGCAGGCAATTATTTCTCAATTTATTTCTCACCAAGGATTTGTCTTTTGCCAGGATGCCAGTGATGCACATCCTATGCTATAATCTGTCTCACTTGGCTCTGACCAGTAATGATGGAAAGGTTCACTGGTTGCAAACCCCTCCTCACAATTGTTACCTTCCTGGGAAGGTGCCTCCTTTGGGAGGTTGGGCTCTCCAGTGTCTTTTTACCAAAGAAGCATTTGAATCATCAGTATTTCTTAGCTTGCCTTTCCCTAAGTTCCACCATAAATACCTAAGATAAATAGAGCATCAATTATGTGAAAAGGGAAAATGCCTTGCTTACCCTATTTTTCCTTCTTTTCTGCATTTATAGATGTCATCCATACTGTAGGGCCAATAGCCAGAGGCCATATTAATGGTTCCCACAAGGAAGACCTGGCAAATTGCTATAAATCATCTCTGAAGCTGGTGAAGGAAAATAACCTCCGATCGGTTGTAAGTACTTTTATATTATGTATTTCTTACTATTTTTCATCCTTTGTGTTTTGGAAATCAGCCTTATCTAAAAAGAGGTAGGAAACCATCTCAAAAAATCTAAGAACTAAGTTTGAGTATTTTACTGTGTTATGTACCCTGTTGGGTTGTCGCGATTCTGATATTTGCTGTGCCCTAAATAGTTGCTAAATTTTTTGTAATATTTTTGGGTTTGAAACTACAGAATCCCCAAACTGGAGTGATCTCACCTACTTTCTTCTCTCCATTTTAAAATTTACTTTGTTTTGAAGAAGAAGGTGATAATGGTGACAAACAGATTTAAAAAAGGGAACTAATAACTACTGAGTTCTAATATTTTTCATATATTAGACATTGAATGTTTATATGTGTTTCTGAGCTAAGTTTAAACTTTATCAACATGGATGTGTGTACACACACACGTAGAAATAAATGGTTTCAGAAATTGCTCATTTGCAGAAATTTACTGTTTTTGCCTGAAGGTATTATCATTTAGATTTGTTTTAATCTTCCTAAACAAATGTTCCATACCTAAGTATGCTACATCCCTTCCAAATTTTATCAATTTAGACAGAGAATTCAGAAAATATGGAGTTAATCTATATCCTTTACACTGGATTGACATGAAAAGAATTCTCTTCTAGCTGGATTTGAGGTATTTATCCAACCTGCTCTTCTGCAACATGCTCTGACTTTATTATGACTCAATTACAGTAGGGAAAATAAAATTATACAATAACAGATTTAAAAACCCAGTAATAAGCTATGCAATTTGGCCAGAATCTATTGGCTTTTCCTTCCTTCCTTTCCTCCCTCCCACCTTCATTCCCTCCCTCCTTCCCTCCCTTCCTTCCTTCCTTCCTTCCTTCCTTCCTTCCTTCCTTCCTTCCTTCCT